GAAAATATCGAATTCGATGTATCGAGCCCATGCTCATCGCCGATATCGTCTCGCTATATTATCGCACAGCCCCACCCCCGCTCCTCGCACACCCCGCGCCTCACCCGGGGAGGCAGTGTGCCGCCGTGAGCACCCACTCGGGCCCGATGATGGAGCCGCCGCAGATGTAGCCCTTCCTCCTGGTCCGCAGCGACACCTGGTACGGCACGCCCACGATCTCCACGTGCTCGCCCTTGATGATGCGCTTCTGCGCGAGCGTGACGGCCTTAGCCGCGGCAGGGAGGCTGGCAGCCGGGGGGCGGGCCGAGGCTGCGGGGAGAAAGAAACCGTCAGTGATCCGGGCGATCCTGCGGTTGTCTTCCGCCCCTCACAACGAAGAGAAGATTACCCCTCGCTCCAGGGGCTGCAACTCCGCTGTCCAGTAAGACTTCACTGGGCGCCGTGACCATCATCTTGTAAAGTGATGAGACTATTTGGCGCAAGGGGACAGTCGCAGGGTGAGCAGATGTCACTTTTTTCGAATGTGCCCTCGATCTGCGGATGGGAATCAGGAAAAGAAACATTTCTTTTCTCTCTACACACGCATCTAGCCATTGGCCAAACGGTAGGTGAAGCATTGTAAGGTGTCACACTCTCACTGGAAGCATTTTTACTCCATTTGGGAACATACTCGATTCCGGCACGCCCTGAAATTCACATCAACGATCCCAGTTGTCGATGCACGGAGAGCCACGGCCGAAAACAAAGCGATGCATGAGATGGCGTTCGGACAAGGGTATTGATGCACATGGTCACGAGGACGGCGGCCCTCACCGAGACCGAGCCCGCTCGCGAGCAGCAAGGCTGCACACAGCCAGAGCGTCATGGCGCCAGGGCGTCGCGTCGCGGTGAGCGGTGAGGCCGGGTGCCGGGTGGCGAGCAGAGGCGAGTGCGGCCCTCACCGCGGCGGCCCTCCCCTCGCCCCGCCGCGCACTGCGCACCCCGAGGTGGGCCGCGGCGGGGCCGGCCGGCCCGGGCCAGGCTCGTGGGAGGGGGCCGCGGCCTGCACTCTACACTACTGTACACCCCCGTGAAAAAAAAGGTACGTCAAACCAAAAGAGCGCCCGGACCAGGGGGGAAAGGGGGTGGAACTGAACACAACCCTCCGAGATGCTGTAGCCAATTGGTTTATTGAAATGTTCTCTCCCTCCCCCTCTCCTTATACGCCAGCCGTCCTCCTGATGAAGTCCCTGATGTCCGCGCTGCCGACCTTGGTGTACACGCCCGGGTAGGACGCGCAGCCGACGCCCCACGACACGATGCCCACCTGCACGCCGGTGGTCGCGTCCACCATCGGGCCCCCGCTGTCGCCCTGGTCCACACCACGCCGTTAGAGGCCCCCGTGCGCTGTGCGTAGCGCGACACGATCAGGCGACGACGCCTACCTGGCACGAGTCCTTCCGCTGGCCGCCCGCGCACAGCTCGTCCGGGCGGATGGGGCTCAGGCCCAGCTCGTCGTACTCGGCCGAGCAGCTCCTGCGGTCGATGATCTGCACCCTGGCCCGCTGCAGCTTGATGGGGAGGTCGCTGGACTCCTGCACACACAAAGTACACCATACAGAGTATCCGCCACCGTTTGTAGGCAGTCGCTTAGACCGACTGTGTTCACCGCCCCACTCTCACTCGTTACTCACGTATTTGGTGCCGCCCCAGCCGGAGATGGTCATGTTGCTGCCCGGGGGCGGGTCCGCCTCGGCCCTGCCGCTCAGCCGCACGGGCTGGACGGCGCTGCCGAGGGCGGCGCGCTCCGCGAGCCGGACCAGGGCCACGTCCCAGCCGTGCGCGCCGCGGTAGTGCGGGTGCCGGGCCAGCGCCTGCACCCGCACCACGCGGCCGCCGCGCTGCCGCAGCGACGTGCCCATGCGCACCATCCAGCGGGCCCCGTTGGGGCCGTTGCTGTTGGAGAAAACATGACCCTCGTGAAGCAGAAGCAGCGTCCCGAGAAAGAGTCGCGTTCGCGTCACTGTCACTAGACGCCTGCTTACTTACCGGAGGAAGCAGTGCGCCGCGCTCAGCACCCACCACTCGGAGATGAGGGTGCCTCCGCAGGCGTAGCGCCCCGCGTACTCCAGCGCCACCTGCGGGAGACCAGGGCGGAGTAGTGGCCTCGCAGCGCAGCGCCGGCGACGCCTCGCCCGGGGACGGCTAAGCTCACCTGGTACGGCAGCTCTGTGATCTCCACGTCCTCGCCATTCACGATGCGCGTGTGGTTAGCGCGGGCAAAGGCCGCCTCCCTGTTTGCGGCACCAACATCACCCCCACCATCACCACCCTCGTCATCGTCAAGACCACCACCACTACGGTTATCGTTGTTTTTGTCAGTGTCGTCGTCGTCGTCGTCCTTCAGGGTGTGAGAGACGTGCTGCGAGTCTGCATCAACAACATCGACTTCTTGAAGCGGTCTGTTCAGACAGACAAGCACAGGGAGGGGGTGGGGGAGGGGCAAATCAAAGAAAGGCACTCCGCGACTCACGACTTATGCTTTCGACTGTATTGAACCGTTCTCCACGTGGTGTGTCGGGGTGCGGGCGGGCGCCGCTGGTGGGCGGGCGGGGACGAACCTGATAGGCGCGGCGTGGGGGCGGCGTGCCCCTGAGCGGGGTGCGTGATCCTGCCCCGCTCCGTGGCCGAGTCGTCGTCGCTCTCCAGCTCCAAGGTGCGGGCGACGTGCTGGGCCCCGGCCCCAGCCCCGGCCCCGGCTGCGCTCCCCGGCTTGGACTCCATGTCGCGGAGAGAGCTGAGGGAGCTGAATGGTGGTTGGCGCGGCGCCAGCTGCGGCCCGGGACCGCCCAGCCGAGTCGACTTGCCTTCCATGCCCGGGATGCTATTCAATCCACCTATGCCAGAAAGTCCAGAAAATGCTTGAGATATCGCAGCCATGTACGGGACGTGTTCCGGGAGCGGGGTCTCTGCACCCGCTGTCGGGGGCGGCGCGTCCGCTGTGGTCCGGGTGGCTTCGTCTGGGAGGTGAGGTTCGCCACCTTCGGGCTTGTGCATTCCGTTTGAGTAGTTTCCGGACTGGTGGCCAGTAGGTTGAGGGGAGGTTGTGGATACCGGGGCGGCAGGTTCAGAGGTGGAGACTGGCGCTGGGGTGTGCTTGGCCTCCGCCCGGGACTCGTCGGCGGCAGGGGAGAGCCCCCCGGGCAGGGAGGTGCCGGCCGAGGAACCTGGCGAGGGAAAGAAGCCTACTGGAGATTGTGGGTGGCTTGCGGAGTGTTTGGGAGGGTCACCGGACTGCAGAGGGGACTGTCCTGGGGATTGTGAGGACTCCGCTGGAGATAGGGGGGACCCCGGAAGGTGCGCGGGAGATCCTGATGGGGATTTAAAGGCCCCTGGAAAGTGCTGTCCAGGCGGCGGGCCAGGCCATGCGGGGTGAGGTGGGAGATGTGCACCACTAGGCATATATGGTGCGGCAGGTTGAGGATTTGCAGTGAATGCAGCCGGCTTAAGAGAGCTGGATGTCTGGGCAGGTGGTGCATGGAAATGCTCGGCGAGGTGGGTGCCAGCGCCCGGGGGCGGTAGGAACGACCCTACGTGCTGCGGGTCGGCGAATGAACCTATGGGCTGCGGTACGTAACCGGGTAGCATCGCAGGGGGTGCGTGCTCGTAGGGCTTGGCGGCGTCGTGGCCTCCAGCGGAGGGGAACATCCCTGCCGGGGAAAGAGACCCTTGAGTGTGTCCCGCCGGTGGCCCGAAAGGAGCAAGGGGCTGTTTCGGGGGTTGCACCTGCTTGAGTTGCGTCTGGGGCTGCGTCTCGGGCTGCGCCTGGCCTGCGGGTTGTCCAGGTGACGGAACCTCGGCGCCACCCGCCCTTACGGGGCCCGGAGCAGACAGTGCTGGCGGCGCGGGCTGCGCGCCCGCCGCAAATGGCGGTTCGGACGAGGCAGTGGTGGGCAAAGCAGCCTGAGGTGCCTGGCCCGGGTGCGGGTGTTGGAACGGGAAGCTTGCCACATGCGGATTTGGTGGATATTGCTGGTGAATCTCCTGTTGGGGGAAGTTTGAGGGGAAGCGGTTCGGGCTCTGCTGGTAAGCAAACGGTGGGTGCTGCGGTGCGGGTGGGTACGGCTGCACAGGCTGTGGGGGTGGAGGCAGCCCCGGACGAGGGTACTGCAGGCCGTGTTGCGCTGGGGCCGGAGCCGGAGCCGGGGCCGTTGTCTGGCGCTGCGGAACGGAGTGGGGCGCTTCGGGGTTCGGCAGGTGAGGGTAGGGGCCCGGCTGGCCATGGACCGCCTCGTGCTGGGCCTGCTGGACATGCGGCTGGTGGTCGTGCTGCGGGCCGGACACCGCCGGGCTGCTGGCGTACTGAGGGGCCGGAGTCATCTGCGCTGGCAGGTCCGGGTGTGCAGTCTGTGCCGGCGGCAAGAACTGCTGCTGGTGGCTAGGGTTGTACGGGGGCAGGCCAGGCTGGTACTGGAACGGGTTGGCAGTGGAATGATGATAAGGTTGATGAAGGACTTGCTTGTTCTGCGGGGAGTAGAGGCCCCCAGGCTGGTGCGGGTACTGGGCCGAAGACTGACCGCTGACCGGCGAGAGCTGATCGAATTGGTTCGGGCGAGAAAAGTCCGGCGTGTCTTGTCCAGTCAGTTGTCCAGGGGACTGCGCAGGGTGCTGCACTGGCGCGTGCCACGGCACCTGTTGTCCCAGGGCCTGCGCTGCAGTATTCAAGGGTGACTGCACAGGCATTTGCACCGCGAGCTGCCCTGGTGCGGGTGCCGGCCCCAGGCCAGAGGCTGGCCCTGAGGCTAGCCCTGAGGCTGGCCCTGACCCCGGTCCTGACCCTGATCCTGACCCCGGTCCTGACCCAGACCCGAGCCCAAGTCCAGGTCCTGGACCTAACCCCGGCCCTGGACCCGGCCCTGGACCCGGTCCTGGCCCTGAGGCTGGCCCTGAGGCTGGCCCTGAGGCTGTCCCTGAGGCTGGCCCTGACCCCGGTCCTGACCCCGGTCCTGGCCCAGATCCGAGCCCAAGTCCAGGTCCTGGACCTAACCCCGGCCCTGGACTCGGTCCTGGCCCTGAGGCTGGCCCTGAGGCTGTCCCTGAGGCTAGCCCTGACCCCGGTCCTGACCCCGGTCCTGACCCCGGTCCTGGCCCAGATCCGAGCCCAAGTCCAGGTCCTGGACCTAACCCCGGCCCCGACCCTGGCCCTGAGGCGTGTCCTGGAGGCGGCCCCTGCGGATGCGCTGGCTGCCGCACACTAGGCTTAGCCGTCTGCGTCGACAGAGTTTGCGTCGTGGATGTTGCCTCCATGGCCTCCTTGGCTTCCTGGGCCTCCTGGGCCTCCTTCTTGGCTTGGGTGAGGATCGCGCTCAGCCCCTGCAGCTGCTCGTTGATGGTGTTGAAGTCGGGCATGGCTGCCTGCGGATCTTTCGAGGGCCCCGGTCGGTTCTTGATGCCAGCCATAATTTCGGCGACCGTCTTCCTGATCTCTGCAGATCGGTTGGGCTTTTCTGAGATCGCCTCGCGAGCGCGGTGCTTGTCCTCGTCGGGGAGGGACACCGCCTCGCAGGACCTGGCGGCTGTAACCGGGCAGAAACAGTCCCCAGTCCTGCCCGGTAGCGCCGTCGTTGCCGTCGTTGCCGTCGTTGCCGCCGTTGTGGTGGTTGTGGTGGTGGTTTGCTTGGCACGCAGGTGATCGGCGAGCACCAAGAGGTACGGAACAGAGCTCTTGGCATAGGTGTCGCTGGCCACCACCAGGTCCCAGTCGCTTACCCGATTGGTCGACAGATCGCCCGCCTCTTTCCGCAGTCGAGCCGACACCATCGTCAGGATGGCCTTGAGCTCGCCGCGCGTCAGCCCGACCCGGACGGGCAGCTTCCCCCGGATGAGGTGCGCGCCGATAGCTCCGCCGTGATCGTCGCGGTGGACCGGCATGTCTTTGGTCAGGGCCGCCGTCGTCGGAGTGGAAGTCGTAGTCGTGGTTGCAGCAGTGGTGGTGGTGGTGGTGGTGGTGGTGTCCTGCTCCTCGTATTCGTGCCTCGGCAGGGTCTCCCACTCCGGGTCGGGGAGGCGGGCGCGGGCCGCGGGGGGCCCCAGGATCGCCGCGCCCAGCAGGATCAGCAGCTGCAGGCGGAGCCCTGGCCCTGTAACGCAGGAGCGCGACATCACCATCACCATCGATGCCGTATTGCGGCAAGGCAATTTCAGGGGGAGGAAAGTCTACCTGCCCTCTGTCCAAACTTAATATTCCTACAGACTCGACGTGCCCCGCCCCCCTTAAGGTTAGGTCGATCATGCTCACCGTGTGCCGCTGCCGCTCGGTGACGGGGAGTGCGCCGCATGGCGGCCATGGCGGCCGGCGGTACACTGGGCCCGCGCCGCCCTGGCCGCCCCCACCCTGCCAGAGGCTGCTAGTGATAAGGCGAGGTCGGCCCGCGACACAGTGCGGCCGCCCGCTACTAGACGTCCAGCCAACCTGGTCCTGTCGCGGTGCAGCAGCAGCCAGGCCTGCAGCTATGGGCCCGGTGCCTACCCCCCTCCCCCTCTTTTCCCCAGTCGCCCCCGGCACAAGTACGTTGCTCAATTTTCGTAATCCCAACCCCAACATGTGCTCTGAATGCCCGCGCAGCCAGCCGCCTTGGCTG